GTTCACGTACACGCACGTGCGTGCGTGCGTGCGTGCGTGCTTGTATCGAACAATATCACGCATTTGCTTGCTGCCAACCGTTAAACTGCGCATGTGCGCATATGACGTCAATGTTTATAAACATGAAACTATAGCCTATACTATAGATGCTATAGATGTCGCTCTACATATCCGGATGCATGGACATTGCTGTGTTGGTGGGTGAATCAGAGCACTTAAATCTCTTAATCATTTTAAGTGCTCTGGGTGAATCATGAACCTTCGTAACGAGTATTGAAATAATACTAGTTAGTTTAATTAAATAATAAATACTAATTGTGCAAGAGTAGTAGCTCTAGTGCGGCAACTGTACGCGGGCTATAGTTACTAGAGCTACAAGAGTAGTAGCTCCAAGAAACGGTATTGCTAGGGTTAGAATACCCCAATATACGTCAATGTATATTGAGTCATTGACGTTAGTCACACAGCCTGGTCGGGTTACAAGAGTAGTAGCTCTAGTACTATAGCCCGCGTACAGTGCCACTGGCAACCGGTTGCGCGCCAGTAGCAACTGTACGCGGGCTATAGTAGTAGACTAGAGCTACAAGAGTAGCAGATCATGCAAATTGCATTGCATTAATATTAATAAATAAAAACAATGGCAAAGACTCGAACAGTCTAGCTAAGGCCTAGGTCGCTAGGTAGCAACTAGTACTACTACTACTAGTACTACTACTACTACTGTACTAGTACTACTACTGTACTAGTGGCAGTGCTGCTACTGTACTAGTACTGTATTACTAATAGTATATATATATATATAGCCTATACTATAGGCATGTGTCAGTGTGGCTCATCGGGTCTATGTCCCCCAGGTTACTGCCGGAACGTACCCTGGTAACTATCTAGCTGATATGGTTAGGGATATGGTTAGGGTTAGGGTTAGGGTTAGGGTTAGGGAGTAGGCGCAGGCTACTCCCTAGACTCGTTAGTGGAGTAGGCGAGGTACGGTCCGGCATATTAGATAGTAGTATTTAGTGCCAGGGTACGTTCCGGTATACCGGACCGTACCCAGGGTACGTTCCGGCAGTACCCTGGGGGACATAGACCCCATCAGCGTCAGTGTGCAGCAGCTAGCGTGTGACAGCCATGCAGCGTGTGTTGTAGATGAGCATTTGGACGGCATTTACAGGAAATTGTCGGCAATAATAGGTGAAAGAGAGTAGAGAAACATTAAGACTTTGGTAGTAAATAGATTTCGTTTTTATTTAGGCCTATATTTTATTGAAACGTCAAACGCTCCAAGTGCCTGTGTCCAAGTTAGCCCCCCTTGCGAAGCAGGGCTATCTTGGTGCGCACCAAGTTATCCTGCTCTAACTCTGTGTCCTGTATGCAATTGGTGCCTAACGCGCGCTAAGTTTCGCAATGCGCATGCGCATAGCCTTATTTAGGTCACGTACGCTCGCTCGCACGCACGTTTGCTGTACCTCGCTGTCTGCGGTGTGACGTGGCGAGCAGGAAACTGAGCGATGGGCGAACTGATGACTGATTTAAAGTAGGGTCAAATATGCAGTCTGTACGCTCCTATAGTTAGCGCGCGCTAAGTTAAGCTGAGAGGGTCTATGTCCCCCAGGGTACTGCCGGAACGTACCCTGGGTACGATCCGGTATACCGAAACGTACCCTGGTACTATCTAATATGCCGGACCGTACCTCGCCTACACCTACTCCCTAACCCTAACTCTAACCCTAACACTAACCCTAACCCTAACCATATCAAATAGTTAGCAGGGTACGTTCGGGTATACTGCTCAAGTTTCAAGAAGAGTAAAAGAGCGAAGCGCTTCACCTTTTTACTCTTCTTGAAACTTAAAACTTGAAACTTGAGCCTCCAAGGGCCTGTGCTCCGACGAACTTATAATTACCAGAAGTGATCTTGAATAGTAGAGTTGAATAATCGGGTGAAACATGTATATTTTATGTAATATATTTTCACACCTATGCAAAAAAAGATGGCAGTTTTTCACCGCCATGCAGCCAGATGTGGTTTTTTGGAGTTGATTGCAATTCTCATGCCTGATCTTTACCATAGGAATAGTGCATAGTTATATACCCTCACACAACATGCAGTGCATTTGATTGTCCTGGAAAAGTCGGGATTAAATTGTGTATTGCACTGACGGTGAGGAGCTCGCAAGCTCATGTTGACATATCTTTTACCAATGTATACCGTCTTTCAATTAATAAATAGATCAAATAAATAAAAAATAAAATGATTGATTTCGTCCCCTGACATATCTGTTGGAGTGTTACCGTGATGTGATGCATTCACAACATCGCAGCGAATATATGCTAAAATATTTATGTCTAACCATTTTTGCTTCAGATTTATCTGTGTTTCATCAAATCGATGCAGTGGAATTGCGTGCTACTGTCTCTTAGTTCTTCTACCTGAACCATGAGTATTTGCGGATTGGATGGCCATGCAAGAAATGAGATGAAGTCATGTCTGACCATAGGAGAGGAGGGAATGTATGCTACACTCAAGGAGGATCTTACCTCCACTGCTATCAACACATGCCTTCACAATTTGTGCCCTGAGGCACTGGATAGGATGTATAAGATGATAAATACTAGTGAAAAGTGGAAAATGTTTGCACATTTCTTGATTAACTGTGATCAAGTAGACATTGATGTAAGTGATGATGATGGATTGTGTTTTGATAAATTGCGCATTCTTGCCAAAATCTGTTATTCTGTAACTATACAAGTCTAATAGTATAATGTAATAGCATTTTTATACCCGTTTTATGGCTCAGATTTGTCTAATTAACAACGTTACTGCATAAGTTATCATAATGAACACAAGTCCGGTAAACCAGTAAGGATTAAGCTTTATCACCAGCATAAAATACATGATGGCGAAAAGGGACAAGGCCAGGCCTAATGTGTGTCCGTCTGTGCGTGTGGTTCGTCTGTACTTGCATGTATGTGTGTGCGGCCAGGTTGTACAAGTTACGTTGTCGCCGACATTTTCCTGCTTACAGGTATTGGCAGCGAAACCAGCAGATGAGAGAGCTGCTGAAATAATGAAGGTCTATGCATCACCTCATTACCAGGAAAGCAATAATTTGCACAGCCACACTCAAAGGGTCATCGACGTGCTAAGATGCATAGAACACTGGGACATTTTGAGGTTCATGTTACCACATTTTAAGGGTACGTGTCTAGGGTTATAGTTTACTTATTTTTGTTATAATTAAATTAATGTATATTGTTGATATAATTTTGTCGGTCATTTGCTTATAATTATTATAGATTCAAACACAACATAATCAAGTTATTAGTGTTATTTTTGTGTATATTTTAGGGTAACTGTGATTTGTGCAATGTAGCTTTCATATTAGTATAAAAATGCAATCTGATGTCATATCCTGATATTATTTGGCAGTTATTATTTTACTGGAAGGAAAACTGAAAAGCATGATGGCAGGTGATATTCAATGAAATTTTTTTTGGCAGAACTCATCTCTCAACTTTATAATGGAAAAAGGTGCTGCAAATCCGTGCAATGCAGTGATTCACATGTGCTAAGTAACGTATAGTTCTGCCTTATTTTTGTGTGTGAAATAAGTTTGCATGTTAACAAGTTAATTGTTAAAGTTTGCATACTTTTGCAATAAACCTATTATCTATCTACAGGGGTAGAAATTAACTTTTGAACACAGGAGTCCAACGGACTCCCTACCCTCAAAAAGAGGGAGTCCGCAGCAAAATGAGGGAGTCTGCAGTCTGAGGTTCAAAATTAAAGATATTAACAATAACGCATGTGCTTATTTTTAAGATTCATGCGGTTGCACGTCTGCCAAATTTTCTTTGGACATTAGCTGAAAAATACGGTAATTCCGCAAGGCCGTGCTCTGGAACGAACTAGTTAGTATGGCAGAATTTTCAGGGAGTCGCACAGACTCCTGCATATGTCAAATCAGGGAGTATTTGACTCCGGACTCCCGTTAATTTTGCACCCTGTATCTATCTATCTATCTATGTTACCAGCGTAACAGCATGTAGGCCACCAGTAAGCCCCTCACTGATCAGTCTCATGTATTCTGTATAACACCTGTGAATCAATCTGCCTGAAATAAATTCTGTTCACGTATTATATATCATGTATTATATATACATTATGTATTATATATATATATATATATATATATATATATATATATATATATATCAAGAGCGGATAATACCTAGAGTGTACAACGGAAAAACGGGAAATAGTGCTATTTCACGACTACATTATTCTAACTTTGGCCTGCGAGTCTAGAATCTAATTTCATGTATTGCATTAGCAGAATTTCTTTGCTCTCTAAAACAAGATCCAACCGCTTGTCAATACGATACTCTAGGCGGAGATATCGCTCCTAAACCTCCCTCCCACATGCCAAACGCCCCTCGTTCCACTTCTGCACCATCCTACACCGGCTAAGCCGTTGAGTCCGTGAAAGTTTCGGTTATTTCGCCGTGATAAATTATGAAATGGACGGTGCCTCGTTATCATAGGTGACATTCGGGGCATCGCCTATGCCCTTAATCTCGCATTATCATTCCTAGCACGGCTAATCGCCCGTCATGATGGAGCCGGCGTCGCATGCAAGTTTTTACAAACGCAGCTCAGTTACTCAGTGTAAGTAACAGTACCAAATTGGGCATATGATATCAATTATCAGCGCTCCAGAGTGTGACTGGCGAAACCGATAGCCAAAATGCTTACCCGCCGTGTAGGATGGTGGCAGAAGTGGATACGAGGGGGCGTTTGGCATGTGGGAGGGAGGTTTAGGAGCCCGATATCTAAGCCTAGCAGTATCGTATTGACAAGCGGTTGGTCTTGTTGTAGAGCAGCAAGGATTTTCTGCTTAATGCAATACCATGAAATTATTCTAGACTCACAGGCAAAGTAGAATAATGTAGTCGTGAAATAGCACCTATTTTCCCGTTTTCCGTTGTACACTCTAGGTATTATCCGCGCCTCTATGATATATATATGTATATATATATATGGTACTTTTGCAGGTCCAATCGACGGTTTACAAGACCCAAAAGCACATGTGAGGAAATACCTTCAGAAGTTTGGTATGTCAAAATGCAAGCAGCTATTTAAACCTACCTATGCATTCGATATTGAAAATGGCTATTTTAAATAGATCAGAATAGACCATATGCAGTCCCGTGTGTCGCTATAAATGTGATTTTTTAATAAAAAAACAAACGTGCGATTTTGCTCGTGGAGCTCACGAGGCCTCTTGTTTCGCTGGCCGCGTTCCTTCACGAATAACTTCGCCAATCGGAATCCCGTAACGCCAGTTAAATCGATCTAATTTCTCGATTGCCATTCGGCCGGCGAAACGCGGCATCCTCGCTCACGCGTCTGACCCCTCTTCCGGTTCCTTTCTCTCCGCCATGCAGAGTCACCCCGAGTGCTCGTCCTCCACACGTTGGAGGCGCCCCCTGGTGACGTGGAGGGACTTGTGCGCCAGATTCGCACGTGGTGGCCGCGCGCCAAGGCTGTGAGCCTCGGCGAGCTGGAGCCGGCCCAGAGCGTGCGCTGCATCGAGTGCGTCAAGCGGTTCTACGCGGAGCTGTTCCACGAGGTACGAGGGCCGGTTACCCGTGTCACGCAAGCACCCGCCCATCCCCATAGTGAACCACGTACGCCCGCCCGTCCCCATAATGAACAACGTACGCCCGCGCCCGTCCCCATAATGAACAACGTACGCCCACCCGTCCCCATAATGAACAACGTACGCCCGCCCGTCCCCATAATGAACCACGTACGCCCGCCCGTCCCAATAGCATGGCTCCCAGAGCTATATTTCCTATATTTTTAGCTCAGCTGACGAAGTCAGATGCGGCTTGTAGAATCACATGAATGTTCGTCCGTGCGTCCGGCCGTCCGTCGGTGTGTCAACAGTTACGGCACAAATCTTAACTGCTCGACGTACGGTCTTGATATTCGGGACATCGGGGGTGATCGCGAAAAGGACTCGGGATGTCGAATTTGGGGGTCAAGGGTCAAAGGTCAAGATGTGTCAAAGGTCAAGAAAACAGATTGTAATAGATTCATATGTGAAAAAAGCAAAGAAATAGCTGTGGCCTAGTTGAGATGTGAACTCATTCCTGACTATGGACTATCATAGCAGGGGAAAACCAGTTTTCCTGTTACCAAGTATATACCTGTCTATAAAAGTTGAACACAGATTGGCCAACACTCCTATTAAATACGGCAAAATGCCCTATAATAAGCATATGAGTTGTCCTATAAACTCCTATATTTGAGAATAAAAAGTCATATATTTCCTATATTTGAGTGATCAAAATGTGCTGGGAGGCATGCCATAGTGAACCACGTATGCCCGCTCCTAGTAACACACGTTATGCCCCCCAGCGAAGCGTATTTTTTCTAAAAGAACAGATTGTCTTTGGCTAAAATCTTGCGGTACTGCATGTGTACGTTTTAGTCCCGGGAAAAATTCCTGGAACGATGGTTTCGTGTTATTTCCACGAACAGTAGTCGCCACAGTTAGCTAACAATAGTTTTACGCTTCAGGTGGACCGGGTGCTGTTGCTGATTACTCCGCGTTGCGGCGAAACGTTCGACGCGGGACGCCCTCTGGAGAATCCCATCACCATCGACGACGTCGCCAAGTACATTTACGATTTGATGCAGGTGCGCCATCGACTGTGGTGTGCTGCTTAGTTGATGCTAGCTGTAGGGTGATGAGAGCATGTGTGTATGCAAAAGAGAGGGTGGTCAAGAGGGAAGGACTGAACGAGAGAGAGAGAGAGAGGTGAGAGAGAGAGAGAGAGAGAGAGAGAGAGAGAGAGAGAGAGAGAGAGAGAGAGAGAGAGAGAGAGAGAGAGAGAGAGAGAGAGAGAGAGAGAGAGAGAGAGAGAGAGAGAGAGAGAGTAGTAGTAGTACGTACGTACGTA